CCCCATCTGTATTACTAGAGATTCCCCCTTCACAGGGCGGTCAGGGGCCTCGTGAGATGCTCCAATGTCAGCATTGGGCCTCGACCTTCTGCACCATCTTATTGAGGGTGAGAGGTGAGGCACAGACCCTTCATGGTTGGACTCTTGCAGACCTCAGAAGGGATCCGTTTGTGATCTTCTTTCTTGTTCCTGCACAGCACAGAGTCAAGGAAGCAGGACATGGAGGACCCCACCCAGCATCTCCAGAGATGGAGGGAGAGAGCTCCTCCATTGGGTTTGTGCCAGCTGTGAGGTGCAGAACCAGGTTTTCTGCACCAAACCCTAGGCTCCTTCCTGAGCTGCTCGTTAAGTCCTTTTCCTGACTTGGACAGCAGCCTTTCATGCATAGGGGTCATAGATGTTTATAAGGATGTCTTTATTTAATTTTTGCTTTATTCATTTTTCTATTTTGAAAACCAATATGGAGGAGTTATTGTTTAATGGATAGAGTTTCCCTTTAGGATGATGAAATATTTGTGGGGATGGACATCGGTGATGGTGGCACCACAATGTGAATGTATGAATGGCATCAAACTGTACACTTAAAGAGGTGAAAGTGGTGCATTTTATGTCTTGTATTTCAGCACCAAAGAAACCAGCATGGCTGTCTTCTCACTTGCAGTGCTTTGAATATGTCCTTCCGTGTGTTGAAAACTTAATCCCCAGATTGTTCTGTTAAGGGTACTTGGAGGTGGGACCCCTCACCTCAGAGAGATAATGAGGATTAGGTGAGGTCATGAGGATGGAGCTTCCTTGAAGGCTTTGTAAGAAGAAGGACCTGCACTGGCTGCGTGCTCATCTCACCCAGTGGGGCCTTCCACCATGTTGAGATGCAGCAGAAAGCCCACCAGTTGGGGGCACTGTGTTCTTGGACTTCCCAGCTTCCAGAGCCATGAGCTAAAGCATTCCGTGTCCTTGGTAAATTATCTGATCTGTGGTGTTTTGTTGCCACAACAGAAAACATAGCAGGACATCTGGGGCAGGCCGTGATAAGGCTTCTCCATGATGCCACTAGAGTCCAGAATCCTTCTCTCTATTCAGTTTTTGCATGTTGACTTTCATCCTGGGTACAAGGCATTTTCTGAAGCTTCCCAAATTTTATCTGCTCAAGAGATGGAGAAGGAGGGAAACAATGCTAGTTGTGACTCTGTCATTTATCAGGAAAACCAAAGACTGCTCAGCAAGTTGGGTGGAATTTTCCTACACCTCGTTGGCCAGAACTGGATCTCCTGGCTTTGCTGATCAGCAAGGGTGGCTGCAAAAGTGTTTGCTTAGCTCCAGCCTTTGTAGCTAAAGAGTACAAGGAGAGAAGAAAGCTGAGTATTGACTGGACAAGTAGCCAGTTGTGTTCAATGCCCTGCTCAAGGTCACAGGGTCACACAACATATCTGGCCAGGCTCAGAACCAGCTTGTCTGATTCCCAGTCCTTGGATGTTTGAAGTCTTTTGTAGTGGCTCGATTTTCAACAAAAAGGAATGTTCTGAAGAACATTTTTAAAAGATAAAGATTTTCCATTGTATGCTCTGAAATTCTAAGACGTCAGTTCAGAAGAGTACTGTGCATGGTGGGAGCTCTGCCTTTGAACTATTGGAAGTTTTGGGAACTGTCCCCAAGTCTCTATGTTTATAAAGTGTGATTTTTTTTTTTGGTCCTGCTTGGCATTGTTCATTAAATGTCTAATAAGTGCTTTGGTACCCCTAGATGAAAGACCCTGTAGGAGGAAATAGTTGTTATCAACTGTGCACGTGCGGTCAAGTGTGGCTGATGACACAGATGATAGGTTCCTAAGGTTGGAGTAGGAGGACAGAAACTTCCCACTGTTTCTCTAGGCTGGAGCAGGGTAGAATAAGAGCTGCCGGGAATACTTACCATTAGAAATGTAAACAAACAATTCTATTCCGATTACCCAGCTGGTGCAAGGAGGCCCAGATGGGATTTCCAGGATAGCAGCGAATTGATCTCCATTCTCTTTGATTCGACCACTTGCTCTTTCACAGGAGTCACCAAAGGGAAATCGACAGGTCTTTTCCATTTTTTGAGACCAAAGCTGGCATCTCCCTTGTCTCTAGTTTTTCAGGATGACTGCAGGTTACATGGGTCCTTCTCTTTCATTCTTGCCCTGAACATTTCAGCATTTAATGGTATTGAAGTTGACCTTTCAGACTTGGCTTAGAAGGAGTGGCAGGAATGGGCATTGTTTGGGGGAGGTAACACACAGCTCGTTGAAATCCCCTGATTCCCAGGAGTTGGCACATGTCCAGATGCATGGCAGACTCAATAAATACTAGAGGTAAAGCTTTGAGAATTTTTTTTTTTTTAATTGGGGATTGAACTCAGGGATGTTCTACCATTGAGCTGTATTCCCACCTATTTATTTATTTATTGTGGCAGGTACCAGGGATTGAACTCAGGGATACTTGAACACTGAGCCACATCCCCAGCCCTATTTTGTATTTTATTTAGAGGCAGGGTCTCTCTGGGTTGCTTAGCTCCTCGCTTTTGCTGAGGCTGGCTTTGAACTCAAGATCTTCCTACCTTAGCTTCCCTGAGCTGCTGGGATTACAGGTATGTGCCACCATGCCTGGCCTGTTTGTTTTTGAGTTAGAGTCTCACAAAGTTGCCCATGCTGGCCTCAAACGTACTGTCCCCCTGAGACACTGGGATTATAGGTGCATGCCCACTGTGCTTGACTGCAGATGGCCCTCTGAGATAGGATACCCATGTTCTACCAAGTTAAGAGCTTTACTTCACAGTATTAGGAAGACCATAGGAGTTGGTTCTGGATTAGAAGGTGAAAGAAACTAGAGAATTCAACCCCTAACCAGTACACAATGCAATTCAGTGCCCTTGCAAAGAGTCCCCACTGGTCAGCCTGCAGGGACATTCCCTGAGCTCAGCAAGACACTGACTTTGGAAATACTATAAAGGGAAAGAGCACTTCTGCAAAATTGGAAATGAAATCACTGCAAGGAGGGATAATTTTTAAATGATAGGAGAGGGGGAAAAAAAAACAACACCCAACAACAACAACACATCACAGTAGACCTGGAAATAGAATCCCTGAGTCAGCTGAGAAAGTCCAAATGTGATTGCAAAAAACAGCTTTTATTAATTTGGCCTCAGAATGCAAAAATAAATAAATAAATAAACAAACAGAAAACCAACCTAATCGCTTTACAGAATGCACGTCCATTATTTAAAAGCTACACCTCCACGGAGTGATACTGTCTGGTCCTATCTGGGTGTCAGGTTCTCTGGTGCAGATGGGGAAGTGATTCTAGATGGTTTTCTCTGCATCTGCCTGCTTTTGTGTGTGGCTGTAAAGCTGCCATCTGTAATTCTGACAATTTAATGTCCTTATCCATGACTATAATTGTCCACCCTCTTGATTTCTAAGAACTTTTTATCTTCAGGACACCTATGATGTCCCTGTACCACCCTTCTGTGTCTTAGAGAGAACCACCAGGGAGGCTGAAATTCAATGTTAATGTTTTGTTTGTTCGTTTTTAGCTCTTTTTAAATTCAGGCATCTAAAGGCTAAATCTGCTTGGAAGTACAGATGTCTCTGAATTGCTTATCAATGCCACTGCTAGCACGTCTCCAGTGTATCTAGCATCAACTCCTTCGGGATCTCTTCCACAGCTTCATGTCTTCATATCTCCATTTAAACATCTGTATTCCCATCCAGCCCAAATATATGATAGTGCCCATGTCACAGCATTGTGCCACTACTTGTTGTCATAAAATCAGTGCACCTGCAGCCTCACTTGGAAAGAAGTCAGTATGAAGAACACTGAAATTCACATTTTGCATAATAGGGCTTGACTTCTATGGATCAGGTCATGAGAGTCTGAACCATTCAATACATCCTGGTACATAAATCTTAAATAACAGTAATAAATTAATAAATACATAAATTACTTAAATATTTAAATAGCAATAAGGTCAGTGGCAACTACAGTTCTTAAAAACATCTATAAATAAATTAGCTCATTGTGTCAGTGAGCACATAGCTTCTACATGTAAAAACATAGCAAAGGTACCAAAAAATTTGGTCCTAAAAAATTTGAAAAGCAAACTGAGTAGAAAATATCATTTGGGGTTTCTTCCAATATGTCTTGAAAAAATTTTGTATAATATCTTCCATTTTTTCCTCCAAAGTTTCATCTGGGATTGGAACCTGGAAAAGAATGTGGAAAGCCTGTGTGGATGAGAAATGTGGTGGTGAGGCTCTCTGATTTCTCAACACACATGATCCCAGGCAATTGGGTTTGGGGGCTTCCATGTTAGAAGGCCCAACCTTTCTATATGTGGCCTAGAATTTGGCAGATACCATGGTTCCATGTTTCCCAAAGATTGGTTTGTTCATTCTTATTTTGTTACTAGGGATCTAACTCAGGAGTCACATCCTTAGCCCTTTTATTTTCTTCATTTTGAGACAGGGTCTCACAAAATTGCTGAGGGTCTTGCTAAGTTGCTGAGGCTGGCTTTGAACTTGAGATCCTCCTGTCTCAGCCTCCTGAGTCACTGCGATTACAGGCGGGTGCCACCATGCCCACCTCCCCAGAGGTTCTCTTGAGGATGTTTCTTTAAAAAAAAAATATGTGATTGGGTTGCTTCCTCATTTAGAACACTTAGTGGCTCCCCTGGACCCCAGAATGAGGTTCTAACTCCCAGAAGCTCCACGCCCTTCTTGCTCTGACTCCTGGTTTCCTCTCTCTCTTTTGTGCCTTCTCTTTGAAGACAGGACCCATGCCTGTTTCTTTACTGCAATATCCCTTGGCCCAGCACATTGCCTGACATAAACAGACATCCAATCAGTATCTGTTACTGAATAAATGCTTTGGGCTCTGGTGTCCCTATGCTGGGCATCCCACTCCCCCTTTCCTTTCCTGGGCAGCCCCCCATCATTGTTCTCTACCTGGGGACAGGTCTGGGCTGGGCTTCGTAGTTCTGCTCACCTAAGGGCAGGACATAGTTGCCCATTCACTCCACGATGAGTTGTAGTATCGGTCCCGGGCTTGCACGCTGACCTTGGCACCCTTCTGGCAGGTCACTGTGACTGAGGTCTTATCCACGTGGAGAGTATTGCTCTGAAAAGGAGTGGAAACCGTAAGGTCCATTGACATTGCAGTTACTTGGTAGGCTACACCTGTTTCTGCAGGGCACCATCTCTTCAAACCAACCAACCAGGTCTTGGGACCCTGGCAGTTCTGGCACTGAGCAGAATTGCACCACCTACTGGGCACTTAATGGAATTGCACCACTTACTGGCAGAATCTGCGAATACACATGTGGCTTTTCTATCTTGTAAGCCCTGAAGGGAACCGTTTTGGTCCAGCTCTCATCTTTCTACACAGTGGCCTTGCTCCAAAGCTCTGTGGACAGTCACTCCAGTACTCAGCTGCTGATGGGACTCACACAGCTTTTCTCTAGATGTCCCTTGCATATTCAAAATCCATACCCCAATCTTCAAAGCCCTCAGACTTGCCTTCAGAGCTTTAGCAGTGCTACTTAATAGCTCTGGAACTTCAGGGAAATGTCTTAGGCTGTGTCTCTCCTCATATACGAGCAGGGACAACAATAAGCCTGTCTCATAGAACTGCAAAAGTTAAAGTTGATCATGTAAAAGCTCTTTGTAAGTCATCAGTATGTAGAGAGCCCTAAGTACCACCTAATAGTGACATGTATCTTAAATAGGGGAAGATATTTGCCAAGATTTTAGGTGACAACTAGGTAAAATCTATTCCAGAATAGCCTCACCTCCCACCTTCCCCTTTTCCAGGGAGTGACTGAATTGTAAGTTTCTACCACCTGCTAAACGCTATGCTGAATAAGACCTTTGTTAAGTAATTTTTTACAAGTGGTGTATAAGAGGGCAGTACTTTGTAAAAGTGTCTCTGAAAACTTGTTTGAGCCAAAAGGGTTCTGAGGCTAAAGCCAAAGGTTGGAAAGCCAGCATTTTGGTCTTGTAAGCATAGCCATCCTGTTTGGTGACATGATTTTACCATGTTTGGAACAGTCAGGAGCTACCCATATTGGGTGAGACAGTGTGAATGCTTATCATTCATTATATTCCCTCCATGGAAACAGTCATTTGGGGATCCTGGAGTCCAGGTCTCCTGTATCGGGACTGGTTTTAGTGCAAGGATGAATGGTCAGCCATACTGGAGGCCATATGGTGGCTCACTGAGTCTGGGTCCTGGTTCTACCACTTTCTAGCTAGTGATCTTGGGCAAGTCACAGCCTCTCGGAGCTTCGTCGTCTTCACTTGTGAAGTGGTGAAAGTAATACTGGATGCTTTCATGGGGTTAATTTTATGCATCAAGTGACATGCCCTTGACACAGGCCCAGGAAAGGACTAAGTCAAATTAGCAGTGATTACGGTGAACCCCACCATCATGTATAATTTTAATGCATCAATTACAACATAGAAAATCAGTTGTTATCAGCATGCTTCTCCCTGGTGTGTGTCCACGTAACTTCCCACAGAATCTGCTATACCTAGATGGCCTCTTACCCTTTTCTTCTTTTTGCCCTGGACCTGCACAGAGAATGTCAGGGAGAAGTAGGAGTGCGGGGTGCTCCAGCTGTCCGGGTACTCCCAGGTGACCTCCACCTGCTGAGGAGTCTTGGATGGCTTCATCTTTAGGTTCTTGGGTGGGTCAGGTTTGACTGTGGAAAAGGACAAACACCTTTATTTTCCTAATGGAGCTTTGGAGTTAGGGTTTGGGCTTCTGATCCTGCTTGCACCTTTGAGCAGCCATGAGTGACAGGGCACTTCTTAACTTCTCTGAGCAGCTGACTGCACCTGGGAAGCCTCTCTGCCTATAGGTGCTCCCACTGGCGCCCGGCGCAGGGAGTCATCATCAGTGGCCACAGCTTTCATTTTTCCAAGAGAATCTCGGACTCCTCATCACTGCACAATCCCATGAGCCTCGGTGGTGGGACCACCCCTGCTTAGTGCCTAGAGGTGAGTTCTTAGTTATGAGCTCACTCTGAAAGCTGGGCTCTGCAGTGAGGGGCCACCCTCTTTGTGCTGAGTCCCACACTTGGCACTAAATGAAGAGCTGAGCTGAGCTGCCCATGGAGGTGAGATGAGAGACTTCCCACTCACTGCTGCACTTCCTTTTGTGTTTTCATGGCTTTTGGCACTGATGGGTTGGACAAGTTAGCACTGATTGTCTCTGTGCTTGTTCATTTTTTTTTTTTTAAATAAATGATGCCTGGGCACCTATCCCACGCCACCACTGTACTGCGCCTGGAGGACATGCAGTGAGCATCTCAAAGTCTCTGTCCTTAAATAGGTAGGTGCCTTCTCTACACGAGGGGAGAGCACCCCTTCTTCAGGATGTGCATAGTCCCTGGGGACCCAGCACAGTTCCACACAGAGACCATGGCTCCTAGGACATGCTTTGGAAATACTTTTCCCTCTGTTCTTAATACAACTGATATCTTTCCTGGAGGTCTCAGCTGAATGTCAGCTTCTTAGAGAGGGCTTCCTTGGCCATCCTCTGGGGACTAGACCCCCTGTCCCCACCCCCCAGATACAAATTTCACAAATTCTAGAGCAAGTTCTATGAGCCTGTTATAGTTTATCATGATAACTGTTCAATGAACAAATGGTAATGGAAATAATCAACAATGACATCTCTACCTGCCACTTAAAAAGAAAAAAAAAAAAAACACAGATGTACCTTTTGGAGAAACTTATATAAATCTCTTTGTGTGTGTGTCTGTAATTTCCCCTTCTTATAATGCAGATAATAGGAAGTATCTACATCATCTTTGGGGTGTTGCAGAATAAAGAGCGTGCAAGTAAACCCCTTACCCCAGTGTCCTGCTCATGGTGAACATGTGACAAATGGCATCTTTCCTTATGAAGCACAGAAAATCATGCAAACTCACTGATGTCTCTGATGAAGAAGCTGCTGATGTAGTTTTCGTACTTGAGCTTGTGAACTGCGTCCACCAGCACTGTGATGGGCAAGGTCTCCTCAGCGGTGGGGCAGGCATTGTCCTCCTGGCACTGCACCGAGTACTTCTTGTACTCCCTCTGCTCTATTTTGACCCTCTCTGCAGAGAGAGTTGCTTCTCCACACGTCACCCCTTGAGGATCAGAGGAGCTGAGGTCAAAGACAGAAATTATCCTGTGTTACAATTTGGTGAGTGAGTTCCCAGTGATTGCAGTCACTGAGGTCGGTAGGCCTCGAGAGTCTGTGTGGGGCAAGATTTGTCCAGCTAGACTGATTCCCTGCAGTGGGCAAGAAACAGCCCTTTCCAGAAGAACAGGCTTAGCTGTAAGAGATTGGAAGCTACAGGGGTATATATACCCCTGGCCTAAATGAACCTGGAAATTTGTCAGATCCAGAATCCCTTCTTAAATACTCTTATTAAAAATTTAAATAAATTTTCCAATTTTAATCACAAAATTAGTACATACCAATTATAAAAATTAAAAATGATAAAGATGTGTACTAATAGTGAGGTGCAGTGGCATATGCCTGTAATCCCAGAGGTTTTGGAGGCTGAGGCAGGAGGATCACGAGTTCAAAGACAGTCTCAGCAATTTAGTGAGGCCCTAAGTAACTTAGTGAGACCCTGTCTCTAAATTAAAAAAAAAAAAAAAAAAAGAAAAGATATTTTTAAAACATGGCTGGGTCTGGGGATGCGGCTTGGTGGTTAAGCACCCCTGGGTTCAATCCTCACAAAAAAATGTGTATGAAGGAAGTACATATCTTCCCTATGCCTGTTCCCCACATATAAATACTTGTTGTAGCCTGTTGAATATTCAATATAATCATATAATCCACATGTATATATGTTTATGTATTTTATCTATATAGATATCCATTTATTAAAATAAAATAGAATCAAATTATATGCCTATGATTTTGTCACCATCTTGTCCCTGTCTCCAGAACAGAGAACCCCTTGACAGAACAGTTAGATTGGGTTATTGATGCTAAGGGATGCACATTAAGCCAGGGTATATTGTTCTAGGCTTTATTTATCCATTCTTTGCTGATGATCAAAAATGTCGCAGTGTCACCTAAGACGTGCATGGGTGTCTTTGGACACTGGGATAAACGTTTCTCCAGCAAACATTTTCATTTTAAAGATGGAAAGGGAGACCTCCCAACACTTAATTGACCCATTTAAATGGCGGCAAAGCCAGGGTGCTCACTAGGGTTTGCTCTCAGCTGTTCTAGATTGCTTAAAACTTGATTCAAGTTGGACAAACAGTGAACCTCAGATTAGCAGCATCAGCAGAGGAATCAGGAGTTGAAGTGGCCGTGGGAAATTTTCAGGGAGCCTCACAGAGTTCTGGAATCTGCTTTAGGGCCTCCGAGGTCTATGCCCCTGGGCACTTGTTTCTATTTTTGAGTCAAGGTACAATTTTGGCAAGTCATCTGTAGCTTCGATTTCTCCTTTTTTATTTCTCCCTGTGGTGCCGTGAGCCTTAATGAACCATTGCCAGGAAATTTGGCTGAGTGGGTTCAAACACAGCAGAGACTGTTGTCAGGCCCTGACCATATCCTGCCCTCACACGCATTTGTTCAGAGGATTGGCTTCCAACTCCATGTTTTCCTTGCCTTAAGCAAGAGAGGGGAGTTGAAAAAACATGGGATTGATTTTTTAAATTCTTATCACTAATGGATAGGTCTCTGATAGTTTCCCTTTATATTCTTAATGAAATGGTGGCATCAAAATGCTGAGAAACTAACGTGGTTTCACTTACCCTCTGTGGCTCTTGACACTGAATTTCACATCAGTACTGATTGCCGTCAGCCACCAGCAGGTAAAACGTCCAGAGTAATTCTTTGCCTCGCATGTTACAAAGTTCTTATTTTCAGGTTCTGGGTTTGAAAAGAATAAAAATCCAATATTTAGAGGTTGTCTCCCAGGAAGATTTTGATTTTTGTGGTTAGTCACAGGCCAACAAACGGTACAAGGATGACATCCTTCCATTCATTTCCTTTGAAAATGCTGCTACTGCTTGGGCAGGTTGTTCTGCAAAGATTGGGAACGACCCAATAGGAGGCTGATTCTGCCGAGTGTGCCACTATACACACTCAACACTTGGAACAAAAGTATTAATTTTCATCCAGATTGGTTAACTTCCATTCGCCATCCAATAATGTTTGCTATTTAAAGACAACCTCAGCACAGCATTCAAAGTGACAATGAAACTCTCTCAATATGAAATTTCAATTGATTGATCAAATCTCCAAATTCCAGAAAGCAAAGGAAAATGGAGATTTTGGGTGGTTTTAATACAGACTTGCCGTTCTTTCATTAACTCTACTAATTATGTCTTGCCTTTTCAATTTTTAAAAATTTCTGCATCTTTTATTGAGGGGAAGAGAAATGATACTCCCCCAGGGAATGCAATTACCTTTTTTCTTCAGAATATCAGTGGACCAAATCCCATCTTCATTTTTGTGAAGCAGCAGGAGCATCTGGCTCAGAACTTCACCTCCTCTGTGGCAGGTGTAGCGGCCAGCGTCTTCAAACTCTTTGACTAGAATGGTCAGGGTTTTGCCAGAGCCTAAGACCTCACTGCTCTGCTCTGAGGTCCAGGTGATGCCGTCTTCTTCAGGAGTGTCACAGGTGAGGACCACCGTTTCTCCAGGTGTGTCAGGGTGCCAATCCAACTCCACCACGTAGACTGGAGAGCACCAGAAGTAAAGAACCATGAACTTCAGGGCTATTTTATTAACCATCTTGGCATCTCCACCGCCTAAGCACTACCTTGCTCATAAGTGTTTGGCAAATGCTTCCTGAGATGATTTTATACTATTGGGCTCTGCTTGGGCTCAAGGTCATGGAGCACAGAAACAAAGGGTTTTAGGGCTGCTGGGGACTCATAAGCTGGCAGTCTGCCTTTAATGATCAACCTCTGATTAGTGGGTATATGGAAAAAGACTTTGACCCATCCAAAAAAAAAAAAAAAAAATACAGAGAGCACAAGATTCTTTGTCAAAGGTCTAGTGGAGGTAAACACCCAGCACAATTTCAGTTTCATAGGGCATAATGCAGGGTACAGTATGTAACAGAGTAACAGTAGTAAAAGACCCAGGTTTTCCTGGTCAGTCTCCATAACTAGTTAGGGGATCTAGAGAAATGCACCTAACCCCTAGGAACCTCACTCTCTGCCAACTGGGAACATGAACAGTATCTATGTTGTAGGTTTGGCTGTGAGCACTAAATGAAGGAAGCACGTAAATCCAAGGCACTTAGCACGTGGCAAACTGTGTTTGTTATTATTGTTAGTCACAGCCCAAAGTGTCAGCCAACTGCACCGAAAACTCTCTTAAAATTTTCCACAGGGATTTAGTGGTTTAGTTCCTTCTGCACGGAACTCAACAATGGAGATTTTCATGATCTCTGTTTTCTACTTTAGAAAGCAACCCAGTGGATCACAGTCTTTTCATTTTGTATGGGAGGGCTCTGAGGCTAAGGGGCTAAGCAAGGTCATGTCCAGCAGGAAGCTGAACAGCAAAACCTTGGACCTTTGTCTCTTAGGCTTGGATCTCTAAAGCCAGTATCTAAACTGAGGATGAGGAATGGCTCAGGGGAGCATCCCAAATGGCAGGTCAGGTCAAAGCTTTGCTCATTTGTTTATCCACGCATCAATTATTAATGGCACCGAATAGTTTAACACAGTGGTTCTCAGAGCCTTATAATCCAACTGCCACCAACAAGCAGCGGCTAGGGAACCTGTTAGAAATTGAACTTTCAGTTGCTAAATCAGAAATGCACATAACCACTCTCCTCATCTACCAACTGGGAACATGAACATCATTGGGTCTGGGTCCAATGATGCCTTTTTTTTTGAGCCCTCTAGATGATTTTAATGCCTGTTCAAATTTGACAGCCACAGGGTGAAGAGCCTGGATTTTGGAGTGACATGGGTCTGGATTAGAATCAGCTCTAGGCCTTACGCTAGCTTGGGGCCTTCGGCAGTGGTGGGGGAGGGGCACTCAACTACTTTAAGCTTGGATGTCACCATCTTTCAAAGGAGAAAAATATTAGTAGTTGCTTAAAGTTGCCGAGGTGTGGGATTATATAAGCTAATTCATCTAAGAGCTTAACACAGCGCCCTTAAATGCCCGGCGAATGGAGACACGTGATTGGCATTCAAGGGTAAGCACTGTGGAAGATAAAGTGCTCCCTTTACATCTATGGGATTTGTAAGTACTTGAATGGGTAACAAAGATAAGAGGTAAAAAGAGCTTGGGGTCCCACGCTTTGGAAATGATTAGCTCTACCGACATAAAACCACTGGGAACCTGAGGCTGTCTCTAGTTTTTCTTTGTCCCTGCTGGCAAAGGAACAGCATGGTTATTTTCCTGTCACAACCAAGACTCAGAAGCCCTAGAAGACCTTGGCCCAAGGGTAGGGAAAACAAATGCCAGAAGAAAAAGAGGCTTGACTTCATTAAGAGGCCTCCCAAGGCCTCTCAGTATTTCTCACACTGACATTCTGGAATTTCTGTGGTTTACCAGATCAGAACGAAGGGGTTACCTAGGCAAAGGCCAGAGTTCCTAAGCACACAAGAACTCCTGGGGCTGGAAGGAATCTAGCTTTGGCCTGTACTTAAGGGCGGATTTAATACTATCTGACCTTCATGGGGTCAGGGAAGAGTGGCAGCACTGTCCTCTTCCTGAAATTTTTTAGAATGAAGGAATGTTCTTAAAGTTCTTTCTGTCACCCATTTCAGGGTTGTACTCACTTGACTATTAAAACATTATTTCTGATCATCGGCTGAAATCTTCATCCTCAATTCATGTCTATTTCCTTTGACTCAGCTCTCCAAGGACCCAGGAAACAAGTATTTTATGTCCTTGTAACATTTCAAATAACTTCAGTGCATATGCTTTGAAGTGAGATAGAACTGGGACCAAGTCCACCCTGTTCTACCCTTTCTAGGTATGTGGTATTGGGTGAGTGACTTAATCTCTTGAGCCTCAGTTTTCAACGTCTGTAAAATGGGATGCAGATAATCCCTATCTTGCATGGTTGTTGGGAAGTAAAGTGAGATCTTATGTTAATACATAGTAACAATCATTATTATTATGTAAAGATAGCCATCTCCAACATCTGATGGTCTTTCAGGTACAAGTGACAATCAGCTAATGTGTATTTACCCAGTGAATAATACGTACTAACACATATTATTTACTTAGTAATTTGTTGTTGTCGTTATTACCAGTGAAGACCATAGTTCTTTTCATACCACAGTCCACAACAAGTCCCACCTGGTATCCAACATGAAAACCAAACAATGTAGATACCCTACAGGGGCGGAAGGAACATGGCCTTCCATGTTCCCCGTGAGGGCTCTCAGGAGGAGGGCTCAATTGCCCATTGCTGTCTGATTTCCATCAGGGGCTGCCTGAGAGCCCTGGCTTAGACTCTGGGGCCTCCACAGAAAATCATGAGAGGTTGGTTACCATTTTTCTCCAGTTCCCATATGGCCAAGAGGGGAGATGCCAGCCAAACCAGGGAGACCCAGGAGATGACCAACTGCTGAAGACACATCTGTAAAGGAGGGAAGGAGGCAAGAGAAGAAAGGGGAAGAAGGAAGAGAGAGAGGTCCATCATCATTCAGTTAGCTTTGTGAGCCGTATCCACGTTCTACCTAAGTTTTAAATCTGGACTTTCTCCACACTCTCATGTGAATGTGATGAGAATTACAGGAGTCCTATGCCAGTCTCTGGTAAGAACATGTTCAAACAGATTCATAGGCTATCTGGAGCTGAAAGACACCTGAGGTGTGGCCGTCGGACACAATTAAGATGAGAAACATAAGCTCAGAGAAGGGACACAAACTTTTCTGGATCAACATTCAGCAGGTATTTATTTAGTGCTTGCTGTGATTTTAATACAATACTTAAAGATCATTGAGCTACCCGTGGTTGGGAATGAAAAGTTTTCACCTACATCCTGCTTTCTAGGTACAGATACTTCCATTCAGTATCTTCTAAGTCAGTATATTAGATGCTTCCTCTCCAGTTGGAGTGATAAGCCCCATGCCTGTATCCCTGTAGCACAAGGTAGCATGAATTGGGATAACTAGGGCCAAAGGACTTAGCTTAGGAATGGGAAAGGTCATACAGAAGTGAATTTCCAAGTTTTGACAAAAACCTGTATTGATTTAGTTTCTCATGTTTCAACAGCAGCGATTCCATATTTCAAGATAATTCCCACATAATATGAACCCAACAGTTCTCAAACTTAAACATACATCAGAATAACTGGTAAGCCTACCAAACAGACTGCAGGGACTCACCACCTCAGTGTCTGACCTAGCATGTCTTGGCGCAAGGCCTGAGAATCTGCATTTCTAATAAGGTCACAGGTGAAGTGGATACTGCTGGCCAGGGGACCACACTTTGAGAATCACTGTTTTAACCACAACTCCCGAAAATCAAGGTGTTCTTTGGCAGAAGACAATAAAATAATGATAGATGTACCATGAAGTAACGAAATGCATACTTTCATGCTAAGCCAACCACCATTTTCTATTAGAACACAGTCTAGATTCGTATCCAGGGTTTGTAGAAATCTTTAGACTGTGAAAATTACATTCCATCTATAAATTATGGTGAGGTGATGATTATTTGATTTCATTCTGAAATGCCTACATCCATCTTGACGAACACCAATGTGCTGCAGGAACATGATTACAGGGACCATTGGTGTAAATCATATGAAGAACAAGGCTTAAATGTGTCACTCAAATACTTTATAAATGTATCTGGTTGGTATCACAGCTGTGGCAGAACTGTTGCTAAGCTATAAGTTTTGTTCCCTTTCATTATAAAGCTCCTGAGGTTCTAGTTGGCAAAGGGCATTGGTTGGTACATCCATAGGCTTGGAGTCAAACAGACATGGGCTTGCATTCTGGTCCCACCACTCATGAGCTGTGGGGTGTTGGCTACATTATTCTCTGAACCTTAGTCTCCTCATCTATCAAATGGACATAATAAAAGCACCATGTCATTTCAAAGGGTTGCTGAGGAATTCAGTGAGATGATATAATAGAAGGCAACCTATCATGTATTAGCTCATTTCTAGCAGAAGAGATAAGGGGAAAAAATGGGTGCTCTCTCTATATTGTGCATAATGGATAGCCAAAAAAGTCATGCCAGGCTATAGGGAAATGTCTACAGAGATGCTGCAATGACACGGGCCTGTAAAAAATTCACGTGTCAGCACTCTGGCAATGGAATCGTCGGAGATTCCTGGCATCTCCTGGTGATTCCTTTGGACTCTCTCAGTGCTGGGATTTTCCCTTGGCTCTGTGCCAAGCATTTCCTCTCTGGGCCTTAGATGCATTTGAGCATTGCAGGAGAACTGCCTCTCAGGATCCAGGGATCCCTGGCCATGGTCCTAAGAAACAACTGCTATTCTGTCATCATCTGCATTTCAAACCGCAGAACATTGGGAAGGGGTGGAGACAGTGCTGGGTCCCTACCTGACTCAAACCTAGATAAACAAAACAGGGTGCAACATGGGCTTATCCTCGGGCTCTTGGATTGAGAGCTGAGACTGGGAAGCTGTAGCCCTCAGCCCACATTTCCTTGGCACAGTATATTTGAAAGCCTTGAGGATATTTTCCCCCCATTCAATTTCATATGTTTCCAAAACTCTTAAAACCCATGCAAGAGGAATAAAGGGACCATAGTTAGGCATTCCTGCTTCCTGGGGTGTGCTAATGTAGCCTAGCACTGGGGTCAACCCGGGTATTCCAATAATGAATAGATCTTTTGCAGGTTTTATTTTTGCTGGTTACTTTTCAATTTGAAAGAAAATTGTAATTTACAAATAGAAAAGACATAGTCAAGCCAGCGTGGTAGTGCACCCTGTAATCCCAGAAGCTCGGAAGACTGAGGCAGAAGGATCATGAGTTCAAAGCCAGCCTCAGCAACTTAGCGAGGCGCTAAGCAACTCAGCAAGACCCTGTCTCTAAATAAAATACAAAAATAGGGTTGGGAATGTGGCTCATTGGTTAAGTGCCCCTGGATTCAATTCTCGATACCAAAAAAAAACAGTAACAGATGGCATGGGAGGCACATGCAAAGGGCTCCAGTCCTAGAGCTGGTATCCTAGCTCTGCTGCTTGCTAGTTGTGTGACCTCAAGTGAGTCCCATAGACCTCTGTCGGCCTCACAGTCTTAATCTGTAAAATGGGCATCCTGTTGGAGCAAGGAGCTAATGAAATAACTCATGGGAAATGTCCAACTTGGTGCCCATGGGCTTATCCTTGGGCTCTTGGTCCCTTAGCTCCTTGATCTCCTCCTTCCATGGTACTTACAATAACACAATTCCTTCTTTAAGGTTTGGCAGCCCCCCACACTAAGTTCTCTGATAGCAGGGATGCCGTCTGTGTTGTTTCATGCTTTATTCCCAGAGTCTAGCCAAAGTCTAGCCTAGAGGGGTTCCATGAATTAGCAGTAGTATAAAAGCCAGACAATTTTGGATCCCAGTAAAATGAACTCTGAGAGGGTCCCCTTGTTCAGTTCACTATCTTCAAATTTCTTGTTTTTTTAAAAAAAGGGAGCTATCAGCTGGGGTTTAAAGTGAGATCTTAACCTGATCATGTCACTGCACACAATTGTACCTGGGCAAGTATGAGACACCAGTATAGTAAAGATCACCTCCCTCCCACCCTTCTCCTGGGTTTTAGAACTCTTCAGAAAATAGTTGTAAACCTTACCATGGCTTTTCATTTTGTAAGTGGATTCAAATTTAGTTAATCCCAAAGAACCAGAAGACCTACTGTCCAAATTGGTTGATTCAACAACAGACCATCCCAAGGATGGGAGTGGATATGATCTGTCACATTCAGTTACCAGGCCTAATTTTGAATTCAATAACTTCAAGGCAGGTACGAAACACTTTTAAAAAAGTTTTCAGTACAAAGGCGAGCACCACTGACTTTAACTGTACACGAGCCTCTCATTGATAGCCATTAATACTTTGGGACACAGACAAACACACACCCAGAGAAACATAAAACAAACCTTTCTGTCAATGTGGGCTTGTTCATAGGTCTTGGCATACAATTATTATTAATTGGCTTTTTAAACTGGTGCTTTATTCAAAGTACCTAGTTTTCACCAGTGTCCCAGAAGGTAAGTTAGCTTCCAGTAAACCAGCCCTCCACGCTGCACAGTGCAGGGGCAACACCTAGCCTGCAGGACAGAGGGAAGGGTGGCAGGGCCCAGGGAGCAGCTTACCTTGGCTTGGTGCAGGCTGCAGGGTCAGATGGGCTTGAAACCGTTGTTTCCTCTGCTGCTGGTCCTGCTCTTGGAACTTATATACCCCACTCCTGCTGAGCTTTCTGATGGAAAACCAAACTTGAAACTGACTTGTTCCAAGTTACAACATTGACAACTATTCTCAAAACCTTCTGGGGAATTTTGAGAAGTTCCTCCCCTAACCCCCTTGGTGTGTATCAATAACACTGAAAGGAACCAAGACATCAAAATCCCAGGTAGGAGGAAATGACTTTGGGGTGGGGAAAAAGGAAGGAGAGTGGAATGCTAATTTCTTTGGATTTGCAAAATCAGACAATGAAAGATCACTTCAACAATGAATTACATAAACAAATCCAAGACCTGGATTTGCATCATAGTCAAGGTGCTTAGAGATGGCCCTAGGCAGCCTCCCTGGGTTCCATAGACTGGAGGGAAAAAAAAGGCCAACGGGAGTCATGCAGGAAGCTGAGTTTGTGACAGAACAGGGCAACGGGCATGTTAGTTAGAGGTCCCCAAAGACAAGTGTATGGCTCTCCCAAAGTCAAGGGAGATGACTAGCAAAGGGCTTAGTGTATCTGGGGCCTCTTCCCTCACTTCATCCCATTAACATCTAGATTTCAGAAACTGTGCCCACCACACACCCAGGCACACCCTCTCCTCCCCACACCGCTGCACATCACCCATAGCTCTGGGAAGATGACAAAAACTCGTGTACAGTAATAAGACAGACACTTGCAGAGACACATCCTGGGCTCATAGGTGCTCACTCATAGACGGTATCAGCAGGTGAGGCGGCCACACGCAAGCCTGCCACAACCTATGTCACACTCAAGACATACCCTCTTGGGCAGCCAGGCATTGGCACACACATCTTTGGCCTTAGGAACCCTGGGTAGATGCTCCTGAGGTTCAGCGAATAAAGACACCTCTCTAGAGGAATGTAAAGTGGCTAAGAGGTGCACAAAGGTGGACGCTGGTGGTAGTCCTCCCTTTTGGCCCCGCCACCTGCGCTTCTGCACAAACAGGCGCCCAAGTTCCCACACGGAGGCGGCCGTCCCGGAGCCGCCGACAGAGGGAGCTGCGGCGAGGCGCGCCAAGTCCCGAGCCCAGCTCGGCGGCCGCCTTCTCCGCCCCGCGCCCGCTCCACCGCGGGGGAAGTTCCTGGGGCTGGAGCCCGACCCGCTAGGTTTCGGGCGGGCGCAGATTTCCGGGCCACTTTCCTCGTAGCGTTCATCGAGGGGGAAAAAGGGAAACCCGAGCGAGAGCGGCGGAGCTT